GAAGTCATATAAATTTTCCTGTAATATTTCCTCTCTCAAATTCTCCACTGTGGTAGGTGACAGATGTACTGAGATGTGTATCCTCTTTCCCAATATCAATATGCCAATGCCCTATTTTAGATGCTATATGATTATCCTACTGACTCTTCCCTGGATGGCCCGACTTTCCCATCATTATCCTACTGGCTCTGCCCTAGATGTCATGACTTCCCTCCAGCCCTCTAAGTGAAAGTTGCTCATTCTGCATACCTCCGGTGTGCATAATCGGTACCATCCCTGCTCCCAAGAATCATATCACTTCCCATTAGCACCCTGGAGCTAATGGCTGTCACATCAGAGCCCATGGAAACTTGGCTGTCAATCAATGACTTGTCTCTGAATACTTTGATTAAGCGATAAGGAGATAGAAGACGTGGCACATAATTGAATCTCAATAAATACTTGCTAAGTGAATAAGTAATGAGAATTCATTGAGAATTTTTAACAAGGAGATGAGCATGATTTAAGAAAAATCTTTAATATGAATCTGTCAACACTCTATAGAGAGTCTTCAGAGAGTAAAAGAACAGACAGATATCAGCCATTTAGCAAGACTTCAGACAAGATAGGAATGGAGAAAGTGAAAAATATAATGACAGTATAGTAGGATTTTTCAATTTATGTGAAATAGGGAATACAGGAGAATAAGGAGTGAAAAATAATTTAAAATTGGAGGCTGAAGACGTAAGAAATCATGTGGTCACTAATAGACGTAGGGACTATGGGAAGAAGAGTCAATGTGAAAAAAATGCAGAGTACAGTGCTGATAAATCAACTAGCAGGAAGGGAGAGCATCACACTGGAAGCACGGGAGAGAGGCAGAATCTGGACATGTCGTCAAAGGACACATAACCCATGAAATTGGGGGGGATATCAAATGGCCAGAAATGAACAAAGGATAAATTTACAGTTTATCACTTCCAATTTAGAGGTCAGAAAAAGAAAAAATACTCAAGAAATGAGACAGAGAGCCATGTGTTTAACTTTCGTAATTTCTTGACCTCATTACATTATAAACTGCTCAGATAGTTTTAGGTTAGGAAATGACATTGCATTCACATTGGCAATTTTCTTCTGTGTAGGCTGTTGATGCTAGTGGTTGGACTGTCCCCTCTTCTTGTGGGGAATATAATGGTGAAAATATATCAAAACAGTTACACTTGGAGACTTTCTCCTCATTCGTACTTCCTTGCTCCTGGACAACAACCACGTGACTCTCTCACTCAATTATTGATCATCAATAAAACAGGTAATAATGTGATGAATACTGGATTTCCATTTACTATTCAGAGTATTACTTAGAAAACATAATCATGACAAAGAAAATTGAGCTTTTAACTTCTTCAGCATGTGCTAAAAACCATTTATGAGACTTAAGGATAATGAATACAAGCCCCAAAATGAGGAGGAATTAAGGAAGTATTTTCCAAAGGAGAAATAAAGTATCTGGTGGAAATTTGCAACATGAAAGAGTTTGTACCAAAAAAAAGAAAATTTAACAGCTTAATTGACATGTAATTCACATGCCATACAACTTATCCATTTAAAATGTACAATTCAGTGGTGTTTAGTGTATTCACAGAATTGTGTAACTATCACTACAATCTATTTTATAATGTTTCATCACCCCCCAAAGAAACCCCATACCCAATATCAGTTATTCCCATTTATTCCTTCCCTCCGTTCCTAAACAACCACAAATTTACTTTCTGTTTCTGTGGATTTTCCTACTTTGGACATTTCATATCAGTGGAATCATACAATATATGATCTTTGGTGACTGACTTCTTTCACTTAGCATGTTTTAAAAGTTTATTCATATTGTAGCATGTATCCATGTATCAATATTTCATTTTTTAATTGCTGAATAATATTCTATAACATGGATATATCACATTTTTTATTTATCATTCATCAGCAAATGTACATTTTGTTTTTCCCCAATAATTGGCTGTTATTAATAATGCTGCTATAATTGTTCATGCACAACTTTTTGTGTGAACATATTTCGTTTCTTTGGGGTATAATCCCAGGTGTGGAATTGTTGGGTCATATGGTGACTGTATTTTGCCTTTAAGGACCTGCCAAACTGTTTTTCAAAGTGACTGCACCCCTTTATATTTACACCAGCAATTTTTGAGGGTTCCAACTTCTAACCTTCTTTGCCAACACTTGTTTTCTGTCTTTTTTATTACACCCATCATACTATGTGTCAAGTGGTGTAGTTTTTATTTGTATTTTGCTAATGGGCAGCGATGTTGAGCATCTTTTCATGTGCTTACTGATCAGTCATACTTCTTCTTTGGGGAAATGTCTATTTTCTTTGCCCATTTTTAAAATGAACTATTTGTCTTTTTTATTGAGTTTTAAGAGTTCTTTATATATTCCAGATACAAGTCTCTTATCAGATACTGTGCAGACCCTTATTATTCACAGATTCTTTTGTATTTCATGCTGTCAGTATGGTGTACTATATTAATTTACTTTCAAATGTTTAACCAACCTTACATTCCTGGGATAAATTCTACTTGGTCATGGTGTACGATCCTTTAAATATGCTGCTCGATGTGGTTTTCTAGTATTTTGTTGACAACTTTTTGCATCTCTATTCATAAGGGATATTGGTCTGTAGTTTTATTTTCTTGTGATGTCTTTGGATATCAGGATAACAGTAGCTGCATAGAATTAGATTGCAAATGTTTTCTTCACTTTTCTCTTTTGGAAGATTTTATGAAGGATCAGCAATTCTTTTTTAGATATTAGGTAGAAATTTACTAGTAGCCACCTGGGTAAGAGATGTTCTTTATGGGAATTTTTGTAATGAGTAATTCAATCTCTTTTTTTTAATTTCAAAATGTTAAGGAGGTACAAATGTTTTTGTTACATGGATGCATTACATAATGCTTAAGTCGGATTTTTAGTGTGCCCATCACCAGAATAGTGTTCATTGTACCCAGAAGGTAAGTTTTATCCCTCACCCACCTCCCACTCTCCTCCCTTCTTGGTTTCCGATATCCTTTACATCTCTTTGTGCCCACGTGTGCCCACCATTTAGCTCCCACTTATTAATGACAATATGAGGTGTTTGTTTTTCCATTCCTGAGATACTTCACTTAGGATAATGGACTCCAGTTCCATCCAAGTTGCTGCAAAAGACATTATTTTATTTCTCTTTATGGCTGAGTAGTAATTCATGTTATACACACACACACACACACACGTGTGTGTGTGTGTGTGTGTGTGTGTGTATGTGTGTGTATCACATTTTCTTTATCCACTAACAAATTGATGGTCACTTAGGTTGATTCAACATCTTTGCAATTGTGAATTGTGCTGCAATAAACATTTGCCTGCAGGTGCTTTTTTGATAGAATGAGTTCTTTTCCTTTGGGTAGATACCCAGTAGTGGGATTGCTGGATCAAATGGTAGATCAAAGAACTACTTTTAGTTCTTTGAGAAATCTTCATACTCTTTTCCATAGAGGTTATACTAATTTGCAGTCCCATCAGCAATGTATAAGCATTCCTTTCTCTCTGCATCCACACCAGCATCTACTGATTTTTTACTTTTTAATAATGGCCATTCTGATACAGGGAAGTGGTATCTCATTGTGGTTTTAACTTGTATTTCCCTGGTGATTAGTGATGTTGAGCATTTTTTCATATGTTTGCCAGTGATTTGTCTATCTTTTCTTTTTGAAAAATTTCTGTTCGTGTCTTTTGTCCAGTTCTTGATGGGGTTGTTTGTTTTTTTCCTGCTGATTTGTTTGAGTTCTTAGTGGATTCTGTATATTGGCCCTTTGGTGGATGTACAGTTTGTGAATATTTTCTCCCATTTTGTAGGTTGCCTGTTTACACCGTTGATTATTTCTTTTGCTATGCAGAAGTTTTTAATCTAATTAAGTCCCACTTATTTATTTTTGTTGTTGCTGTATTTGCCTTTGAGGTCTTAGTCATAAATTCTTTGCCAGGGCTGATGTCTAGAAGAGTTTTTCCTATGTTTTCTTCTTGAATTTTTAATGTTTTATGACTTATATTTAAGTCTTTTATCCATCTTGAATTAATTTTTATATATGGTGAGAGATGGTAGTATTCCAATCTCTTTACATTTTATATTTCTTCTTGCCTCAGTTTGATAGTTTCTGATTTTTTAGGAATTTTCCATTATATCTATATTATCTAATTCATTGTCATACAGTTGTTCATAGCATACCACTAAAATAATTTTATCTATAAGATTGGTATTTATACCCCTTTTTTATTCCAGATTTTAGCAATTTGAGTTTTATTTTATTTTTTATGGGTCATCCTAGTTAAGGATTCATCAATTTTGTTCATGTTTTCAAAATACCAACTTCCAGTTTCATTGATTTTCTCCATTGTTCTTCTATTGTCTATGTCACTCATTTCCAATCTAATATTTGTTGTTTTATTTCTTCCTGTTTGCCATGGGTTTAGTTTGCTCCTCTTTTTTCAATGTCTTAACATAGAAGGTTCAGGGGT